GGTGTACCTGGATTTGTTTAAGAATTTGTTTAAGAATTCAACTCTCTTGACTACATTGAAAAGAAAGAAGGCTAGTTTAGGGGTGTCAAAAGGATAATCCTGCTTGTATGTTCTCTAAGGAACTCCAAGCCAGGATGGATTTGTTCTACTTACCTAGATTTTATCCAGCATTTCTGTATAGAAGTGACACAAGGTGTTGTGTTTGTAATATGAAGACTAGTGGGGAGAAGACTCAGAGGCAAAACTTAGTTTAGATTAGTTATGTTGTGTTGCTAGGAGGAAATGTTAATAACTGATCATGCCAAGTGTTATTTTTAAAGCTTTCATCGATAATATGAGAGCTGTAGAACAGGAAGCAACTTAAAATCTAGCTGATGAAGGTGTTGCAGATGCTGATATAAATGTTACTTGTTATGTTTCTAAATTAAACAGCAGAGGAAAGATGATAATTTTGTCTGGGAAAGCACCTGATTGTCCTTTAGTCACTGGCTGTTCAGGAACTTAATGTACTCTTCTGCTGGCACCTTCCCTGAAGTCAAACTTTATAGCTTGTTTCTTGGCTTCTACTCATTTGGTTGTAATGTTGGTAAAGCAATTCTAAGTGTCAAAATGAAATAACATTAGAGTAATATATTATTAGAACTCTGATCTAAGGTGATCTAATCTCTTGATTAGAATTATAAATGTATGCTTCTATTGTTTCACTCTTCCCTTCTGTGAAGGTCAGAATTGGCAAATAAAAGCTTCAGAAATGTCCAATGTTAAATGTCTCTCATTTCTTCACCTCTGTTCTACAATGCAAGCAGCTGTGGCAGCACCAATGTGTTGCCTTCCAGCATGCTGTTAATCAATATGTGGTGTCAGGCTTGTTTTCTAACAAGGGGTTTTGGTGTAACTGAGAACAGGCAGGACCTCGGAGGCTTCCTCATTCTGCTTGGCAGAAGACTGAGGCTTTTGTGTGGCCTCTCACAACCTTATTTTGTGAGTTGGAGATGGCTACTATGAGAGGAGCAGAAAGCTCTGAAGTTTGTTCCCTGCACGCTGTGATTCCAAATGAGTTTGTGCCTGTTGGGAATCAGAAGTGCTAATCATGAATATCTTACATCTTAGTTACAAGCCTAGAGCTCTATCCCTTTCATTGGCACTGTCAAATTTTTGTAACAAGCCTTAGAATATGTGCACAAGTGCTAAATAAGTGGCTGTATCTGAGCCTCCTGGTGGCTCTCATCTTGAGGTGTGATATATTATACCTTCTTGATGTAAGTGTAGAAGCTTGTAAACAGTGTCTGCTTGGTTTCTATCTGTAAAAGTGACACTTCCTTATTAATCCTGTGTGAAAGTAACAGGAAACTTCTTTCAGTTTGATTTAGCACTGCAGTAACAGCACAGATATTCCAAAATTGAGAGAGCAGGAGTCCATCACCTAGTCTCTCAGATGCCAAGAGACTTTTCTAACTGGGGACAGTTTTAATCTCTTGCTAAGATGGTGACCATATGTCTGTGAGGTCCATAGCCCCGCTTGGGCAGCCTGGCTGCTCTGGCAGTTTGCAGCAACCTCCTCTGAAGTTGCACCACTTCCTGTAACTGCTTTCTATATTACCTTTCTCATGATGAGATCTGTCTGTTCTCTCTGAGAAAACTGATCTCATTTGGAAGCAAGAGGCTTATGATACAAGTGCACCAAAGCATAGAAGAAGCTATGACTGGATGCATAAATCAATTAGAATGCCTGTGATAGGACCTCTGCATAAATTTGTGTTTATCTTCCAATAGAGCTGCAGCTTTATCAATATTAATCGATTTCTCTCTCTTTTCTAACTCCCAGGGTGCCTTGGCTGACACGTGGAGCCAGACAGCAAAAGCTGAATCTACGGAGGCTTCACAGTTACTTCTAGCTTGAGGAAAGTGACACTGGTGAGACTTTGTCCATTACTATCTTATTTGGGTTATCCAATTGGTTGAAGGGCTAAGATGAAGGGGAAGACCTGCCTCTTCAGCAGAGAGAAATTATCTCTGGGATAATAGTAGCTAGTTTTTTGAGCTATCCATTGGCTCAAAAGACACTGAGTCAGTTGATGAAATTGCTTTCAAAGTGGAAGGATGTTTGTTTTGTGTCATCATATTTCTTTTTTCTGAAGCCCTCAAAGTGTTGGATTTTAATATTAGTTCTTTAGCTACAGAATGGTTGTTAATTAAAATATACTAGTGACTGCCTTAAGTAACTGCAGAAGTTAGTATGGATATTCTTGTTGAATTGCAGAAGTCCTACTGAGGAAATAACACACTAATTCAAGTTTCCCCTTTGGAGCTTGGCTTCTACATTTGGGAAGAAATGTATCCAAAGCTGGTGATGTTACCTCAGCTTTTCACTCACCCTCTGTTTCTTAGATATTTGGGATCCTGGCAAAGATTGACTGGCCTGCAGGCTGTAGGGTTTGACACCTGAGGCACTGCTGCAATTTTAGTTCTGTGGTGGTTAGGAATATATCTACATAGCTAGTAATCCACTTCTAATTTCTTGTGGCAGTCAGGGTCTTTAAAACAATATAAAATACACTCTTTTTCAAAGTTGTTGGTATCTGATGTTATGATTTCTGTTAAGAGACCGTTTGTGGTTAGCATCACTTTTGTTTAACATGGCAATTGATGTTGATACTCAGCGTATTGCAAAAGGCTTTATATTTTTAATCTTCAGGTTCAAGATGAGTGCAATGTTGGAGACCCCCGAGCTGCCAGCAGTATTTGATGGGGTGAAGCTGGCTGCAGTTGCTGCTGTTCTGTATGTTATTGTTCGCTGCCTGAACTTAAAGAGCCCAACTGCCCCTCCGGAGCTCTTCTACCAGGACTCTGCTCTCTCCCGCTTTCTGCTGAAATCCTGCCCACTTCTGACCAAAGAGTAAGTAGTGTCTCTAGCCTGTTGCCTTGTGGGGAGAAGAGCTGCACTTAACTGTCCTTCTGCCTAGTGTGTTTCTTAAACTTGGGTGCAGATGAATGGTGCAATATTCTTTTGAGGAATTGAAGATATTCTAGACCAATATACTTAGCTGTCTTATTGGTAGTGTCACAGGTACCTGATTAGATAGGATCAAGCCTTGTGCAGGACTGCATGGGTGCATGGTAAACTGTACCTATCTGTTGGGAGTTTGCTCTGAGTTATTAGGATCTGTGTGCTGGTATTAGTGGACTGTATTCCCCAGCACTATCTATCTGTAGAAAGGAGGGAAGGAGAAATGCAATCAGCACTTGCCCTTGGTCACATCTCCTCTTCCAGTTGGGAAGAAATCAACTGGGGCTCATAGGAAGCACAGACTTCACATATTGCTAATGAACCTGGGGATAGCTATTAGTTTTAAGTACCTTTTTTTTGAAGTGCCTAATTTATTAGACTAGCAATAACATGCTTCATCTAATAATAGATTTCACAGCTAGCTTAAAGTCATCATATTCTGGCCAGTTGTAAGAAAAGAAAAAGGAGAAAAAAAAAAAAAAAACCTTAAATTTGCTATTAAGTCAACCTTAAGAACCACTGTGTATTTGAGCTGCCTGGTCCTCCAGAATCAAGGTAGCTGCCCTTCAGTTTCCCTAATAGTATGAAGCATTTATTTCAATTAAATGTGGTTTTTAGAGGACTCTTACAGTATTTCTCTTGCAATCACCTTAAGCTTGTAAGTTGTGTTTGAAAGCCCTAAAGAAGTCAATTATCTAGTAGCTCTGGGTGCTATCAAGTAAAGCTTCCTTTTGGATCTCAAATTTTTTTTATAATGAACTGATTTAATACTAGTTCTTCTGGTGAAGATGGGAGGCTTTTAGCAGTGCTATGTTAGGTGCTTTGGTTATGTAAATCTAAATTTTGGACCATTGTGTTTCTAAACAACTAGAAAGAACAAAGCATTATTCCTTTTAAAGCACCTTTCAGAGAATGCTACCTGATGAACAGTATGTTGGTAATATAAGTCTGTGTTGAAACTGAGCATTGAAATTGGATCTAAACTATAGATAGTGCCTTAACTGTAAAGCAGTTCCTTCCCTTAAAAAAAAAAAAAGCCTGAGGGGTTTCCAGTTACTTGGTATCTTAGCTACTTGTCACCTCAGTGCTGGTATCCCAGTTCATATGTCCCTAGTCAGTGAACAAACAGGCATGAAGCTTAACTGGTTTACACTTTTGAAGACATTGATCTCAGATTACTCTGGGAGACTAGATGGATCTACTTTAGTACAGACTCTGACTTAGTTTACTTAAGCTTCATCTCTGTTCTTAGGGGGTTAGACTCTTGGCATTGCTATAATAGAGTCATATTTTGGATTTTCACACAGTTGAGGAGAAAAGCTACTTAAAGTCTGAAAACTACAACACATGTACCAGCTGCAGAAGAGAACTGCTTGGAGAACTGTAGTGGTGGTGTTAGTGTGCAGTCCTGGGCTGACTGCTCTGTCGTGATCAAGTCACAGTTCAGGCTTGTTTGAAAACTAGCAGCAATTTCCAGCACATGGGCAGAACACTAATTGAAAGCTTCAGTGACTACAGGAAACAAACACAACTGAAGAAAATAGCTAGAATAAGATGTGTCAATAGGTAATTGCTAAATCTTATTACCTGGAGAGCAAAATATAATTACTGTGATGTCTTGAAAGTGTTTGCAGAAGAGATAGCTTTGTTCTAATATGATTTGTATGACTTTGCTGTCCTCTTGAAGTATCACAGATATTTTAAATAGAGATTAAAGAAATCAAAGAAATTGCCTTTTAGCTTCTAGGTGACTCTCATGCCTAGTAGGAACAAGTGTATCTAAATTTCTGCAATTATGCATGGAATAGTTTGCAGGGCTCATTAGCTGGAGACAACTTGTGCCATATGCCACTGAAATATCTTATAAGGCTTTAATTACTTCCTAATTGTTCTGAGTGTTAGGAAAGCTGATTAAGCGGCTCTTTTTCAAACTCAAGCATGAATACGAAATAAGTAGCCCAGCAATCCTTCCTGTCATATCTGTCCTGGGTTTGTGAGATCTCCTACTGATTCCTCTGCAGCTGTGAACTGTTTTTCAGACCTGATCTGTTCAGTTCCCTTATTATCAAGGGAGAAAGGGGAAGAATCTGGTCACCCTTAGCAGTAGCATAATGCTGAGAAGCTAGGGTGACAGGAAGAGAGCAGAAATGACTGAAGCTATTTACCTGTGCAGCTATTAAAAATGACCTAAAATGGTGTCTAAGACCTGGTTCATAATTTTCTATCAGCCTTTAAGTTGCAATTTTACTTGCATACATCAAGAGGGAGCAAAGGCTTTTCAAGCAGATTGAGGTGTAGAAATTATTGAATTTCCTCTAGCTTTTTGGTGTCTATTTCAGTTGAGCTAGACCTGTTCCTTCCCCCTATATTCATGAGTAAACTATTTTTTCTTGTTATCCACTTTCCCTATTAACTCCTCCTTACCTGTGGATTTATTGAATAAATAGTGAGCTCATCTCAATGAACAAAGCTAAAGAACTTGGGGTAATAAAACTGAGATGACCGTGTGCCAGAACTGTTCTAAATCTCTTTTAGAGAATTGTTAAAAGCAGTACTAGCATTTACAAGTACAAGTTATTTAGTCAAAACTTGATGAGCAAGAGAATCTGCCTGCCTAGAGTTCATGGGTTTTTTTACATCTTTATTTTCCTTCTACAACTATCTGCGTGGTTCTTTGGCTTACCAGGTAAATTAGAATAATCGGCCCTTTTTTGTTTGTTTAAAGAAATGCTTGGAAGCTTAGCGGTCCACATGATGGTTGGTGTTTGTGAACACTCCTACCTAGCCACCGTCTGCAGCTGTCTCCTTTTCCTGTCTTCCCTCCTGGTACAGAATGCCTGCTATCGTTCTCCTGTTCCTATAGAAATACAGCATTAGTCCCCTTGACTCCAAAATAATTTTGACCAGTATTTACTGTGCTGGGCTACTGTTTTTGCCTACTCCCAATTTATTCTGTCAAGTGTATGTATCCTTGCTTTTCTTTAACCTGATGCTTATGACTCTTCAGAAAACAGCTATTGTTGCCTCCTGTGTGGTTATCCTTAGTAAAGGCAAGCTCTGCAAAGGCTGAAGCAAGTGATTGCTGAGCCTCTTTGAAAATGCTGTCAAAGATCCAGCCTTGATCCTGCTTATCCTTTGTTTGCACAGTAACTTGTACAGATAACTAGGCTGCCTTGTACAGGAATACTCTTAAGTGTCACTTTCCTGTAGATGTGAGGAGAAAAGCAGTCAGAAAAGCTGACTTCAGTCTCTTTAATAGTCATCTTCTCCACCTAATGATCAAGTGCTTGATTCCTACCAACTCCTTAGAGCTTTATGCTGGGTAGAATAAAACAAAGTACAGTATTTTGAGCCTTTGGCACATAAACATCTTAAGAGGTAGAAAAATAGCAGCTTGCTCTAAGTTGGAGCCCTGACCTTGGGGAGGGAAGCAATCTTATGATGTTCAGGTCCTTTCTGTGTGTTCAGCTGTGTCATTGGTAGCACTCTTGCATTCTGCAGCTCTCACCAGCAAGGACAATGTGCTGTAATAACCAGCCACTGTTTTGACTAAAACACTTTGTAAGCACTGAAGGTTAGAGATGTTATGGACATTCTCCTATATAAAAGCCACCTCAACTGGGTAGGAGGTAGCTTAACTAAGGACTCTGCACTCTTAAATAGCTCTGACACTGTGCTGTTTCCCATAGAAACAAATTTAACTACTGTACCTATTTCCCCATAGCATTTGAAAAAGGAACAAAAGCTCTTGAAGTTGCTTTAAATTTTGGCTGTTGCATGTGCTGTCCTGTATCACATCTGGCATTCCAGCTGAGCGGGTGCATAAAAACTGCATTCTACATTCGTGGAGCAGGAATTGAATTCTGGCTTTTAAGATGAGCTCTTTTGACTGAGATTAAATCTAGCTTCTTAGTATCAAGCTGTTTGTTTGTTTTTTAGCTTCTTGTAAAATACCTTTAGATTTGTTTGTAAAAATCGCCTATTATCATGCAGGCAATTTTCAGCATGTCTCCTGACTTTGGCAAATTCTAGGCTCCTGCTTTTTTATCCAATGTACAGTAGCACGTTAAGATGATGTAAGAGTTGATGTTTAAAGTGTTAATCTCAGATGAAATGAAATAAAGCTTGAAATACAAGCCTGTTGCTGGACTTCCACTTCAGATGTTTGAGGAACTGAATGCTGATGCTTGCTAATAAAAATAGCACAGTTTTCATGTGCTTTGAGCTGCTTATACAGCTGTTGCTTTTCTAAAGTCTTATACTGGGTGATGTACGTGCTCTGAAATCATAATCTGTCTTCCCACTAAAACATAATCTACAAGCATCTGTTGGGATTGTTCCTTAACCTAAATTCAGGGCAACATTTGAACACCTGGAAATTCTTGTTCTCATGGACTGTTATGAATTATCACCTATCAAGATGTGAGATTGGGTGTTATAGCTAAAATTGAACATGTAGGGCTAAAAGATCAGCATTTGTGAGTGTATCAGTACAACTGAGTGTGAATTCACTTAGCTGTTTCTGACAAGTCATCTGAGCTCTACCTGCATAATGTCACAAGTCAGTTGCCATATTAAGTATCTGGCAGTCCCACACTTGTTCTCTCCACCTTCAGTCACAGAATTAGTTACCAAAATACATGGAGCAGATAAAGTTACAGGGCTGGCCCTCTGATATCTGGCATTTGGTCAGAGATGCCAGGTATTCTGACTAATCAAAACAGGGGAAACATTTTTGGTAAGTTCAGTTACAGGCCTCTATGCAGAGTAGACTGAAGCCTTTTCCCCCTGCAGAAACCACTGTTTTGGTAGCCAGTACAACAGTCTCGCCTTAGATCTCCCACCTATCAGTACTTGGATGTCTCTGTGCTAGTACTTCGGGTCCCCCCTGCTTGTGTGGGCCCAGAGGTGCCTTCTTTTGAGCTGAGGTTGACTGTTCTCTGCCATCTACCTGGCTGCTCAGCTCCCTTCTCTAGCTCCTGGAATCCTTAATGGCTATTGCAGAGTAGCTGGGAATCCTCTCCACTCAGTGAAACCTGTCACCCTGGGGTAGGCTCAGTGGGAGCCTCTTCTATTAGAAGTGTTTAGCCTTATAGGAGGCTTTGTAGAAAAGCTGAAGAAGTGGCTGTCATGTCCTTGAATACTTTTTGGTTTTTGTTTAAGCTCAGTGCCTAAGGGAAGCTACCTCGTTTTGTAAGTGAAGGGCCACTTTAAAACAGCTGGTTAAACCTGACTGTGTTTTTGTTTAAGCTCAGGGCCTAAGGGAAACTACCTCATTTTGTAAGTGAAGGGCCACTTCTTTAAAACAGCTGGTTAAACCTGACTGTAGTGACCCTTTGCATAAAATCTGAAGGGTAATGTTTGAATATGCCTTAAACTACTCAACTGCTTGCCTTTAAGAGTCTGGGCTGTATCGTGTTTGACTCATTTTCCATGTGTCACACCCAGCTTATTTTCTTAGAGCTTTCTTAAAAAAGAAAGAGGCTGGATACATGCCCTTCTGCCTACAGGTTGTTTTGTTTAAGGGGAGCATCTTTTTTCAGCTCCTTGCCAGGAATGGTGCCTTTATTGCAAAACAATCTGTGCTAAAACCATAGCTATCAGCACTGAAGTAACTGAATACTTAAGTTTGTCAGCTGGGTTGAGTCCAAAATATCTCCAAGACTAGTTTTTCATGGAGTATGACATAAGTGAAGAAAAGTAGCTTTTATGATGTATGCTTTTACAGGGCGGAAGCTCTTTTATAATTCTTGGCTAGCTTTTTGGCCACTAATGTGGCATCCAACTTTATTATGGAAGACTTTTTCTGTTTTGTTTCATACTTTTGTGTGGCGTTAGTAGAAGCAAGCTGAAAGGCCACAAGTGCTGGCTTAAAAATATGCTTCTTGTCCTCTGCAGTCCCATAGTCTTGCACTACAGAGCTTAGTACTTGGTCCTGGAAGTTCTAGTGAACTCCTCTCAACTGAGAGGTAGAGACACTGTTTGTTAATGCTGTTTTAACAACATGCAGATCTGTCTTTGATAATCTTGCCATGAGTGACTTCTAACAGATGGATCATGGCACTCAATCCTGGTATAATTGTAGGAAATCGTGGTAAAGTGAATTTTACTATCAGCTAAAGACGGTGTTTACTGTGGTGTTTTGCTACAGAGACACTGTTTTATTACTATTAAACTAAATATTGTGCAGACTTAGCATAAAATGATCTGTATCTTGGTATCTGTTTGAATAACCTTTAAGTCTTTGCTATGGGCTGTAAGTGCTTGGTTTTATTTTTGTCTACTTGCTGAAATTCTTGAAGCAAAGCTAGAATTTATGATTAATGTTTGTCATCATAATCTAATACCCATTTTTAGGAATAAAATGGGCAGTTTAAGCCTCTATGTGATTAAATTGGTGGAACTGCCAAAACAGTCTAACTGACCTGGGTGAGCTTTGGCTTAGTTCTGATCTCTGGATCATAAGAAGAAAGTTGAGGGCAGAGCAGTTGCTGCTTTGTTTGTTAATGATCACTGGTATGGATTCTGATTTACAATATTGTGTTGCTTGAAAATATGATGCTTGAGGATCTCAGATTCTGGATTATAACATGAAGCAGAAGTGGCTCCTGCCTCCTTAGCCTTGTGTTCTTTGTCAGTAATGTGTGTCCCAAAGGATAACCTTCAAATGGCCTGCTTAAGCATGCTGTGTATGAACTAGAAGTTTAGTTACACCTGATACTGTTCCTTATTTCTAGAGAAACAAATTCTTTTGCTTTCTGCTATCCTGAAACTTGATATCAGGAGGTTGCTGCATTCCTAGATAAGCTGTTGACCTTCTGAAGAACAGACTTCTCTCAGGGTCAAAGTTTTCAAAGTAACTACAGCTAAGATAATGCCATTTCTGTGTGTTTTTTTCTTTATTTTTTTTTTAAAGAACAATCAATAACATAGCCCTGGTAATACTGTTGTTGGTAGGTTTTTTGTTACTTGCAGCATGTGTCAGGTAGTTTTGAACTGAAGTTTTGTGATCATCTTCCACTGGTGTGACCAACTTGCCAAAATAGAACGAAATGATTTAATTGTATCAAACTTTACTTTGAAATTAGACTGAAGTATTTTGGAGCTTGATAACTGCAAGGACAAACTGCAAAAGCAAACCTTGATTCGTGTGGGAATAATAAATCTCTGCATCAGTGCTGTCTTAGGTACATTACTCATGCTGGATACTCATGACCTTTGAACACTCGTCTAATTTTTGTGCTGAGTGAATGCTTGTCCTTTAAGCTGACTCCAGTAATTTAAGCTGAGCATTTTTCTTTCTTAGGGTGCTCAAACTAGCTTGTGAACTCTGCAGGGAGAAAGTAGCAAATGCACCCTTGTTCAGAGCTTTGCATGATCCCAGCTGTCCAGTGGGCATTTGAAATCCATAGGCAGCCTCTGTCTGTTATGGGTGGAGTCATAGGAATTCCTGACTTTTAAATCCTTTCTGTTGTAGAAGAAGTCAATGAAACAGCATGTTCTGTTTAGCTTTGTAGGATGGTATAAGGTAACAAAGATCAGTTCATCAGGTAACTTTAATCTTTTGAGGGCAGTCTGAGGGAATCATTTTCACCCTCTTTGTCCCTTGTTCCCCATGGTGTGCCTAGTAGGCAGACATGCTTGTCTCCAGCTAATTAAGGGAAGATGTCTTAGAACAAATTGCAAAATCTCTAACTTATAAAGCCTTGTAACACTTCACTGGTCTAAAAAAGCACCTCCAGGCCCCAACTGTTAGTTTGAGAATCTCTCACTACCTACATTTTGGAGATACAAGGGATTGAAAGTTAATGTTAAAATAGTAGTATCATGCTTGAGATGGAACTTTTTTTAATGCAAGAGGTCCTCTTCTTATAGGATCTGCCCTTTGGTCTTGTGGTAACATAAATATGCCCATATGTGTAAAGGCTTTGGTCTAGCTTTGCCCTTACCTGCCTAGAACTGCTGTCCTAGCAAGCATTGGCACTTTCTACCTTATAGAAAGTCCTTTTTTTTTTTTTTTTTTTCTTTGCCCTGACCTGCCTAGAACTGCTGTTCTTGTCTTGCTAAGCAAGCATTGGCACTTTCTGCCTTATAGAAAGTCTTTTTTTTTGGGAGTATGTGAGGACAGCAAGTTAGAGATGGTGTGTGGTGCTGACATGAGGAAGAAGGTCTGATGTGTGGACAGTGTCAGAGCAGAAAGGCAAGATTCCTGTCCAGCAATGTCCAAGTGGGTTATAGGCTTAAATAGTAAATCTGATGAGCTCCAAATTGCCTATTTTTCCAATAAACAGGGAAAACAGGAACAATCTGTTTCATATGGTCTGTAGTAATAAAAGGAAATAATGTCAAAAAGCCCTAAAAAAGAGGAGGGAGGTGCAAACCTCTTGGGTTCCAAGGTAGTGTCAGCAGCCCTCAGCTTGCTGTGGATAACATGCTCCATGTAGTAGAGAACACGGCTCCTTAATTGGAAGCATGTCCTCTAGGGCTCTTTCTCCTAAATAATGAATCATTCTTGCTTTGGTGTTGACAGCTGATGTAACTGTCTTTTTTTAGGTCATTTGTTTAGTCAGTCTCAAAGTGGCCAGGTGACAGCCCCACCAGCAGCTGGGCAGAAGCAAGCCTTCTGTTAAACCTTTTGGCACATGTGCTTGCACTAACAAAATATAACCAAGCTCTTAACACCTTCCAGATAACAGTTGTATTCCCCCCGGCTCTGTCCTAAAGGGAAGAGAGTCTGCTTTGTGACCTGACATCGATATGTCCTTGACAAATATAACTAGTGGAGTCACCCTCTTTGGTTTGAAAGGAGGGTGCTGTTCAGCGGACCAAATTTTGCAGGATCTCTTCCAGCTCTCTGCTTTACTCCATGCTTGAAAAGCAAAATTGTTCTGTACCATACTACTCGCTTAACTGAGAGATAGTTACACAAACAGTCCTAACTAGCGGCTCTTCTTAGTTTCGTAAGACTTGGTTTGAATCCCATACAGTTTCTGCCACTGACTTATGTAGTCAAGTGCTTATACAAGTTTCTATGTAGTTCAACCCAGCAGGCTTCAATATTTCAATTAAAAGAGATTTATAGCATCTGACAAGTTTTGAAGGTCAGTCTGGTTGGCTAGCAACATGTGGTCCTAGTCTCAAGATACAAGACATTTTGCTTTTCTGTGAGAAGTGTTTGTGCATGTAACACTTCATTATACAGGAATTCCTGAACTATAGCCTTTCTTTGTTGTCCATCCTGATTTCTCTGCTTTGAGAGCTTATCTGTGCCATCTCTTTGATAATACTGTAGAAATCAGTGCTGCCAATTCAGACATAAAATAAAAAAAGAAACTGTTCTTACAAAGTGGTAATGGTGGGGGAATCCTGTTACAGGGTTGTGTAACTGTTCCTAAATGCTTGGTAGTGTCACGGGGATGCACAATTAAATTGCTGCCTCTTTCAGATACATTCCCCCCCTGATCTGGGAAAAGAGTGGACATATCCAGACTGCCCTTTACGGGAAGATGGTGAGAGTGAGATCACCGCATCCATATGGACTTCGGAAGTACCTCACGATGCCAGATGGAGCAACAGCCACTTTTGATCTCTTTGAGCCCCAGTCTGAGCACTGCATTGGAGGTCAGTTGAACCTGCTACATCTGCCTGCAAGACTTGACTTTTTTCAGGGAGAGGAGATGGGCAAGGACAGTGCTGCTTGATTTATCAGAAAAGGGTAGATATTAGTTTTGGAGATGGGAAGGGAACTGCTAACCCACAAGTGGAGGCTGCAAGACTATCGCAGACATTAGGGGAAGCCCTGCTGGACTAATAAACCTTAGGTGGCAAGGGTGGAGGGGTTGGACAGGAAGATGTTTCATATCTTGTGCCGCAAGTGAGTCTGGCAAAAAAAAAAAAAGTTGGCAGGACTTGCATTTGATGTGTCCTTTACCTGCTAAATCTGGGGTCATAGAACTAACACTAGTAATATGGGGTTCTTCATAGCCTTGATGTGTTTAGAAAAAGAGCAGAACTTTACCTCCCCCTTAAAGACAGATTTTTGCTAGTCTTTATTCACAGTATGATCATAGGAGCTGTTTCAAGATCTGCATGAAATCAAACTATGTACACAGGGAGTGAGAGTCCAAACTTGGAAAATTCTACTTAAAAAGTAAAAAAGCTTGATGATTCCTCAGTTCATTGGGTATGTATTTTCAGAGTGGGTGACAGCTGTTAGTAGTAGTAAGAACAGCACTTAAAACAGTTACCGTGACTTGACTTCAGAAGTACAGTTTATCTTTGCGGTAGCTGATTTAATGGTAAGCTTATGACTCTAGTTTGGCCTTCAGAAAAGGCCAAGTTCTTTTTTTAAATCATGTGAGAGTTGAGATCCTTGTGGTACAGTGTTGCATAGTAACAGTTAGTGTTATCTGCATTACTGAAGCAATTCTGAACAGTGCTTTTCTAATGAGGCAAAAATTCACCATAGCTAGGGCTGCTAGTAAATGAAGTCCAAAGAGTGTGCAGGCTGGAAGTCTGTTTAGTGATCCTGAATTTGATTTACTGTGCTTAGAATAGCTTGTAGGGGGGGCAGGGGGAAACTATGAAACTGTCAGATCAAACATAATAAAGATATGAAGCAGAACAGAACGACACTGTTTCTGCACTTAGCGAAGCTTATCATTAAGAGTTGTCACAGAAATGCGGAAAAGTGAGGGGAAAAAAGTAGCTTAGTCTCATTTTGAATGAGAAGCAGGTTCTAAAACTTATAGTCCCAGTAGGCTGTCAGAAGCAGACCATGTGTAATGTCAAATCTTCTTGTTTGAAGGACAATATGGAAGAATTGTCTTGCTTCCAGGCAATGCCTGTAAAACTATTTGGGCAGCTTTTAAATTCTGTCCATCTCTTGTAATGTGAGTTACACTTCAACATCTCTAGCACTATAGCTGTTAGTCTCTTATCCCGTATCAGACTACTTTGGCAGCATAGTAGGACTTTAGTTTTGTGGTAGGTGGTTTCCCATGGATCTGAAATAAAAGCTCCTGAATCACTGCATTTGCATGAAGCGACATTTACTTATCCTCCCCTCTTTCTGCTCGCAGAGGATGTCACAATGGTAATCTGCCCTGGGATTGCCAACCACAGTGAAAAGCAGTATATCCGCACTTTTGTTGACTATGCGCAAAAAAATGGTTACAGATGTGCTGTTCTGAATCATTTGGGAGCCCTACCAAATATTGAGCTGACTTCTCCACGGATGTTCACATACGGTAGGTACTTTATGGCAACTGATGGCTTTCAGTTTTGTGTTTCTAGGGCTTGCTGACATGGATATAACAGGTGAAAGTCTGTTCATGTTATATCGTTCAATAAGTGAAGTTAAAAGTTG